TACACACCTGTCACTATCGCTCCGGACACGAACTTGCCAGCATTTAAAGAACCTCCGGACTCTGTATGGAAGACTGAAATTCTGCCCGTTTCAAAGTACGCGTCGGGCAAGATCACTTTCCCCGACGACGAACCACCTCCCAAGCGTAGCCGTTACGACTACTCACAGTACCAATCGGATCCTGAGCAAGCCGTGCTGGATTTGCCGCCAGAACAAACCAATGTCGCACTGTTCCGACCCGAAAACAGACATATACGTGATAGAATACATCCGGGTCATTCGTTCCGGCCTCCGACTGAGCATCCTATGCCCTCCGTTGGCTTCTTTGAATCTAGACAGTCGTCTCAGTGGACATATGCGGAGGATGATGAGCTACGGCGCTTAGTCAAGGAGTACTCATACAACTGGTCTCTTATCTCCAACTGTCTCACACCGTCATCACAGTTCACATCAGGAGCAGAAAGGCGGACACCCTGGGAATGTTTTGAGCGCTGGGTTGGCTTGGAAGGCTTGCCAGCCGACATGTCTAAAACACAGTACTTCCGCGCTTATCATCAAAGACTTGAGGCGGCACAGCGAACTGTACTAGCGCAGCAACAAGCCGCCCAGCAGCAGCAGCAACAACAACAGCAGCAGCAACAGCAGCAACAGCAACAGCAACAACAGGGCAACAATAGCAATCCTCAGTCACTACCCCAAGTTCGAAGGAGGACGACGCAACCTCTTAGGGTCGATCGCAAGAGATCCTCCAAGCACCTTGCATTGCTTGATGCTATGCGTAAACTAGCTAAGAAGCGAGAGACCATGCTCCAGAAGCAGCAACATGGTAAGACGTGAAACAGTATGATTACTTTGGCTTTTGCTAACTACTTTGATTTGCTGTAGCCTCGCACTTGGCATCGTTACGGAAAGTTAATGAAGCAAATCAACCGAAACCTCCAATTACGTCGCCCGCTGAATTCAGCCGACTCAAGTACGAGCGTGAATTGAAGCTTCAGGAGCGGCAAGAACAGTATCGGCAGCAAATGATTGCCCAGCAAAGAGTATGACCGCGTCTCTTTTCGTGCACCCTATTCCTGACTAACATCTATGTTCAAGGCGAACCTAGCAGCCCAACGTGCCGGGCAAATACCTAACCAGCAGCCGATAATGAATGCCCCAGGACGCACTCCTGGCGGCCTGCCTCATAACCCTGGAACTTCGGCTATGACCGGCAACACTACGAACGGGCTTCCGAATGCATTGCCTAACGGGCTGCCCAACGGATTGCCTCCCGGAGTTGGTGCAAACCAAGCACGTCCCCATATGCAGGGTATGCCCAACGCTACACCTGTAAATGGACCCATGCCTTCGAATCCAATGGCGATGAAGATGATGCCACAATCTGGAATTCAGCAGAACAATGGCGCCCGCCCTGGAATGCCTATGCAGACCCCTCCTGATAATACGCGTGTTATGCGGGAGGCAAATCGGCTTCAAGAGCAACAACGGATCCTCCAGACCAGACAGCAGGCCCAGCCACAGCAACATCCGCATCAGCAGCAGGCTCAGCCCCAACAGCCGCAGCAGCAATTCCATAATCAACAGCAGTTTGTGCCTCAAGGATCTCACTCTCCGAATCTGAATATGCCCAACGTCAACGGCACTACGAACAACCCTGCGATGATGGCGGCGCTGCAGGCTGGAGGTGGAATGCAAAGCCCTTCTTTTCACAATACTACCCCACAGGGAGTGTCTACGCCCTCCCCCCGCATGGCTCAACCCAACCTCCTGTCCGGTGGTGTTGTCCCAACTATCAGCACTATCCAAAGCCAAATCCAGCGGAGCAACCCGAACATGCCTCCGGAGCAAGTTAACAAGCTTGCTACGGACCGGTTGCATCAGTATCAACAGCAGCGCATGTCTCAAGTTGCCATGAGTGCTGCTGCTGGCAATATTGGCAGCGTGCAAGCCAATTACCAGATTCCCCACGAGGCCAGTTTCCAGTCCCCGCAGCCAGGCCTCAATGGCGCGCCGGGTATGCAAGTACCTCAGGCCCAAGGATATTCCCCCATGATGCGTGTTCCCCAACCTGCTCAGCAAAATCGTGTCGGTGTAGGGAGCTCTCCCGCTATGAATGGGGCGGTTCCTCAGCCGAGCCGGAGTGTGACGCCGCAAACCCAGCGCAGTGGCAGTGCCCAGGCTGGCGCAGTGGCCGGGACAAGCAAGAGTCCTAACCCTCCGCAAGCTCAGACAGCGACGAGCTGATGACCTTGCCTTTATCTTCTCTTCTTCGTTTGTAAATATTTCCCATCCACCTTATCACCTTTTATTCACTATCCCTGCTTCGAGCACCTACCTTGACACCCAGCGATCCTCTTTATTAACGCCACCCTTACTGCCTTCAACCCCTTCGTCCCTTTCACCTCCCCCAAACCCCGCCACCTGCCTTGGGAGACAGATTTTTCTGTCTTATTTTTCTCCAGATTTCTCTTGTTATACCGGCAGCTTTTCACCGGCTTTCGGCCGGTTGCCTGTTATGCACAAATGGCTTCCTTTTCAATCGACCGGGGCTATGTCCCCCTCCATTTTCAACTTTGTACTACATGTATTGATAGGACGGATACAAAAAGGTCAGGAAACTATTGGAACGTCATTTGGAATGGATTGCATTAGAGCAAAAGAGCAGTTAATGACTACGACTGTACGATTACTATTGAGAATAATTGACGCACCTGTACTACATCGTAATTGCTCTGGGGTTGGGTCTAAGCGCGCGTCTAACCCGCGTCTTTTGCCACCGCCTTCTTTTTATCCCGCCGATTGTCTAGTCCTCCACCAGCTCCAGTTCTACATACTCAGTAAAGACTCGCTATATGCTGCGGGTGCTCATTTCGCACATATGGATTAAAGGCAGCTTTTCACTCCCCTAATTAGTTCTCTCCGAATCAGCAGCCCACGAAGGGGCACCGTCACAATGTCGTCCTCACAATCGCCGCAGAACAGCAATGCGGACTCCAGTTCCTCAGCGAAGCCATTCTCTCTATCATTAGGCGGAAACTCCACGAAAGCACCAGCAAACGGCCAGCCGAAGAAAACGTCCTTCAACATTCAAGGCGCGGCGCGTTCCACCGACTCACCCAGCCGAACACTCGCGCGCCGACCTCACCACCTGCACGATGACGAAGAATCCGATGAAGAAGCCGCGCCCACTCATGAAGCCGTCACCGGGTTCGACACCTTAACGGGAACGGCTATTCCCGCCAACAAGGTGGAAGAAAAGCGCGAGCTGATCATTCCCGTCGCTGGAAATAATAATTGGAGGGACCGTCCGGGCGTCAATCTCCGGAAACCTAAGGGCAAGAACCTCTTGCCAAAGGAGGTCCAGGCCATTCAGGAAGCTCAGAAACGGGGTGAAGTTGCTGGAGATAATGTTGAGACAGAGCGTCCGAGTATGGCTTATGGGTTGAGTTTTGCGCAGCCGGCTTCGCAGGATTCGGCCCAGGCGGCGGATAATGATCGCCCGATGAAGGATGTTACTGAGCCTGCTGCTACTCCTGCTGCCGAGGTAGAACGCAAGCCACTCACGCAGGATGAGATTGCCTTGCAGGCGCTTATTCGAGAGACGAAGGGGGAGCCGGAGCGCAGGTCGGATCTTGTTATTGAGTCGGTTAATCGAGATGACGATGATCGGGCGGGCGGGCGATATGATGAGACGTCTTCTTTTCGAGCGGATGTTGCGGCGCGCCCGGAGTCTGCGAGCTTGGATCAGTATAACGCAATCCCTGTTGAGGAGTTTGGCGCTGCGCTACTTCGTGGTATGGGGTGGAAGGAGGGTCAAGCTGTAGGAAGAGGAAAATACGGTGGTTCTGCAAATCAGGACAATAAGCCGCGGGTCCCGGAGCGTCGTCCTGGGTTCCTGGGGATCGGAGCGAAAGATGTGTCTGGGGGGAAGGGTGCAGAGGCCGAGCTCGGTGCATGGGGCAAGGCTGCCATGCGGAAAGGGTCCAGGAAGGGAGGGAAGGAGGGCGAGTCCAATCCGGAAGGTGTATATATGCCCATCATGATGCGAAACAAGCAGACCGGCGAGTTCATAACAGAAGAGGAGCTCGCGGCGCAACGGAAAGAGGCCAGGAAACGGGGCGACGATGACGAATGGAAGCAACGACGAGATCGCAATTTGGAGAAGAGTGGCCGTGATAGGGATCGTGATCGTGACTCACGGCGTCGCGACTACGATGACGATGAAACTGATCGCTATGACAGACGGAGGACCGGATCTTCAAGGAGAGACCGGAGTTTGTCATCCAGTGACCGGCATTCAAGACGGCGCAGATACGAAGATGAAGATAGCGACAGTCGTGATGACCGCTACTACCGGGACAGAGACCGTGACCGGGATCGTGACTATCGCCGGGATCGTGATCGAAATGGAGATCGGGAACGAGAGCGTGACAGGGACAGAGATCGGGATCGGGACCGCAGCAGACGGTATCGTGATGATGATCGCCATAGTAGCTCAAGGCATTCTTCGTCGCATACATCGAGTAGACATCGTGACCGGGATAGGGAGCGAGACAGTGATCGCGACTCCCGCCGGAGAAGGAGAGACGAGGATCGATGAATTGGGGAAGACGTGGCCTGCTTTTCACCTTTCAATTTCCTAGACATATTCAAATCCGCATATACTACTTATGATCTTGATACCATTTTGTATGACACAGGACGCGTTGGAAGGACTGTCGAGAGTGATACTATTAATAACGTTGACATTTTTAATACCGACGACTAGTTCCATGGCCAGGTAGAATATCTGCCTGAGTAGCTTCCAATCCAGAACAGGTAGTGTCATTTCAAAATAAAAGAAACTTTTTATGTACTGGTCTCCTACCAGAAAAGAACAAGTACTCCCACTAAAAGCGCCACCATACACACGGTATTTGCAAACATGCAGATTAACTCGGGTCTATTTGTACATAGTCTCATTCAAAAATCTTAGTTTTATCCACACTTGGGTTCTCCTATACCCCCAGCATGACCACATCTTTCTCATGCTCCGGGACACTGTCTTCAGGGAGACTGCTGTAAGGGTCATACGGGGTAGAAACGCCCAATCCTCCAAGTCCCACACCACCGTCCATCTCTGCCAGAACCCATTCCACGAGGTAGCTTTCGTCGGAAAGTTCTTCGACACGACGATAATGCCGGTCGGTATACGAGGCCAGAGCTTGCAGGATATCCTTCATGCCTGCTGAAGTGCGACCCTCGCGGCGACGCTTCGCCATACTTGAGGTGGCAAGCTCGACAAACGTTGAAGCCGGGTAGGAGCGGAACAAAGCGAACAAGATTCGCTGTGCGACCCTGGATGTTCGGGCGTTCGTGTTCCAGTCACGAAGTCTAAGGAGGAGGGTACATAGATTTTCGGGGTCAAGGGTCTGAAGAACCTCGTCAATCGAGGGGTTGCCAGTTAGGCTGTTGGCACGCTCGCTGGCTTCGGAGTCGGTCGCTGTTGGGTCATCTGCGGCATCGATGGCAGAAGTAAACAAGGACAGTAGCCGGGCTGGGTGGTTGAGTTGAAGCGCGAGTGTGATGGCTTCGCGATATGCTCCGGCACGAATGTAGTTCTGGAGCTGTTGATCTTGCTCAATACGAGCCGAGTTGGCGTTTACAGTAGCGGTGTATGTAGCAGAAGTCGTGTCTGTCCAGAAGGTAACAGTTGAGTCGGCAGAACCAGAGGCAAGGCCGTAAGGAGAAGTTTGTGAGAGGGTAGATGAAGACAGAACGTCATCACGGCAGCCAGATGGCGTAGGGCTGGCTAGAGCCCAGACACGGTCTTCATGGTTGTCGAGAGTCGTCTCGACCTCGCCGCTGTAAGGTGACCAAATCTTCACCAAGCCATCTGCGGCCGCAGACGCAACTAGAGGTCGCACCTGCGCAACTGCATTATGTGTCATTGCTTCGTCTTCATCCTCATCCTTGTTGGACAAGTCCGAAGGTGGCAGCCAGATCACCTTGAGCACACTATTTGTGTGGCCTTCGAAGGTGAGAAGACAGCTGTAGTCCGACAGGCTCCAGATCTTGATAGTCTTGTCTCCCGATCCTGTAGCAATCATGCCTCGGTTTGTGCTCGTTCCGGTGTCGGATGTGAGGATAGGAGTACCACGAGGTGCGAATCGTGCTGACCAGACTCCCCTCTTATGTCCACGCAGGACACCCACAACGGAGCCATCCTCTATGGACCAGATCTTCACAGTACGATCCTGAGATGCGGACGCGAACAACGTTGATGTCGGATTAATATCCAAAGCATTAATATCTTTTTCATGGGCTTTCCGTGTGTATACTGCCTTGGGATTGTGAGGCTTGGATGACTTGAGGGGAGCCAGTTTACCCGTGTCCCATCGTTTGATAGTACGATCCTGAGATCCTGTGAGCAGGAAAGCAGGAGGATGGTTCAAAGGGTCGTTGTGAGCAGGGGTGTTGGCTGGCGGAGGAGCTCGGGGGAAACTGATGGCACCGAGCGACTCGGCATGTCCAGTGAGGACAGCAAAGCATGTGTAAGAGGAGTTCTTCGGATCAAGCCGCCAAAGACGTGCAGTATTATCCTTTGCACCGGTAACAAGCCAGTGGCCTGACCAGTCAACGTCGATACAAATGATGATGTCGTCGTGGCCTTCTAAGTGCGTGACATCGGCACCAAAGTAGTCACCCTCTCCGGTAGCGGGCCTATCCTCGGAAGGCCCAACTGAAACCACCCTTATGCTTTCGGTGTTGGTAGCCAACGCAAGCATCGACCGATCGGGACCGACATATGCGAGATCGATGATATCATCATCGTTGCCGGAGATACGTCTGATCACTGGCAATGGCTCAAGAGTAGACCCAGCTTTATAGTCGGCGAGTGGCTGAAGTGAGTGCAGTCGGATGGTCTGGTCAGCATGCACGGTCATTGCAAATGACATGCCTGCGGAATACTGGATCGCCACCACGGCCTCGAACTCGGCCGCAGCTTCTTGCTCGTGAGTAACCTCTCCTCCGCGGTTGCAGTCCCACACACGCAAACGGCCGTTCTCTCCTCCCACCAAGCACAATTCGCTGTCAGCAACAAAGCAAGCTGCTTCCACGCTCTCGAGGACAGGGATGACACGGCGCGTCTTGAAAGTCCGCACATCCCACACAATGACAGTCTTATCGCGACCTGCAGAGAGCAGCGCATTCTCTGCGGGCGAGTACGAAAGACTCCGTACAACGGAGACGTGCGATTCCAGTGATGCGATAGGCTTTCTCTTGTTCAAATCCCAGACGCGGACCATACCCTCCTCATCACCCGAAGCGAGTCGAAAAGCGCCAATCGAATCGGCTACTTCATCCATGTCCTCATCCTCATCAGAGTCATGGGTCTTGCCCTTGGGTCCCTTCTTCTTCTTCTTTGATGATGCTTTGTCGTTGTCCTGGTAAGGTACCTGGAAGAAACACAGCGCCGAAATAACACCACCATGACCATGGAAAGTATGTGTGATATATCCACCCCTAATATCCCAAACCTTAATAGAACCATCTGCAGCGCCAGTTGCTAGGAGAGTACCCGTGGGATCGATCGCAGTGGTGACAACAGGGGCTGTGTGAGGTTTCAAGCTTCTAGCTAGTTTGGCCTCGACGGTTCGTGTGTTCTCATCGAAAGGCGTCAGAGAGTAGATGCGCATGGACATCGAGCGCGAACAGAGAATGACATGCGAAGCCGATGGAGAAACTAAGCGCAGTCAGAACATACCTCCTAGCTAGCGTAGGAAGGGGAAGCAAAAGAGAGAGAGAGTTGCATACTGGCCAAGCTAGTGATTATCTCGCCGTCCTAAAACATCCGGGTTAGCCACTTGCGACTTCTAAATGTATGAGAGAAGCTTACGCCTTCAAGGCTGGCAACTTGGTCACCGGTCTCAAGGTCGACCACGAGAGCATCCTCGCCAATGCAAGTCGCCAATAGACGACCACTAGCATCCAGCGCAGTGCTTCCTCCGGTGTAGATGGGACGAAGAGTTCGAGACGCCTCGAAGGTCGTCTTAACCACGGCTTTGGACATGATGGGGTAATTTTCTCAACAACCAGAAGTCTAGGAATCTACCGCGCCATCATACGACAGAACAAATCCGCGCTTTCAAAGAAATTGGCAGTTGCGTACCGCCGTCCGAGTCGCCGTCGCACCGAAACTTTTGGGTCTTTTTTCGAGATGTTTGCTTTGTTTGACGAGCTGGTGGAACCCCGCTAGCTCGTGATCTAACCGCCCCAGACGCCGGAGCCGCCTAGATGACTGACACTTACCATTTGGGGCAGGACTACCATCGATCTCGCAATCCATCGAGTTGCTTTTGCTAGTCTCGGATATCTTCATCATCAAGGCAGAAATGCCCCTTACGGTTACTTTTCGATGAATGTTGTTGGCATGCTCACGCGATGGGGCGGCGAGCATATCTCAATCGGCTGGCTCTGGTAGGCTCATGTCTCTTTTCGTTGTATATGCTCAGCTGCGAGTGGGGACACATCTGATGTAGTTTGTTTTCTGCGCGAAAGTCTGTTTGCTTTTGAAGTAATATGCAATCAACACGAATGGGATCTTCCTTTCAGGCATATCTACAGCTTCGTCTTCATACCTACCTGTGTCCCATCTCAAGATTGGCAGTCACCTCCTCTACCTACCAACACTTCCCCGTTTCCATTTTACGTGTTACCATCTATTATATCGGGCGAATAATTAATAGCCATCTAGGGCCGGTCTCCTTACGAAGCTCCTGAGCGCCCTGCGAGCTCTGCGATAAACTCAGGAAATGTCACTCAGCGGACAGTATCAAGCTTACATGCGGACGGATACGTCCAGCATTACGATGAAAGAGGTCATCCAATCAACCCGGAATCTAAGTCCTTTGGCAGGGAACTCCGTAGAGCCAAGAATGATATTCTTTCCACAATGGGCATTGTTGTCAGCGAAGATGGCAATGTCAGTGGGCCCAGCGAACAGCAGAAGCTCGATATCATAGCTGCGGAAAATGACTATGGCTTGGTTATGGCCACACTGGACCAAGTCTCAGTCTTCCTTGGCTCTTGGTGGACCTCTTCCCTTCTAGGTCGGGTACAGGTAAGAGCGCGCCATATACAGTAATGGCATCTATAGCTATGGGACAGCGGGTTAATTGAACATTTATCAGACATTTAAGAGCTATACGCGGCTGCCCCTGCTAAGCATTGTGCGTCTTGAACGCTCTGCCTACGGAATATGGGGCTTCTATTTTGCTGGGATTCCGGCATGGGCTGTATCCACATGCATATCCTTTTGTCGACATCACCCCTTGGAACGTCTAATTGCTTTCTTGCAGAATTTGTTCCCGGAAGATGACGTAGGCTCCAAGCTTATGCGGGCATTGTTGAATGTCGTATATTCAGCGTAAGTATCCCGAATCAACCATTCCGCTATCTTCTAATGCCATGTATAGGGGCAGAGGAACCATGCTGGTTCTGGCGATACAGACATACATGTATTCCCTCTTACAGTCCCTTCACATCGTTCCTGCTCACTCTATGCCCGGGATACGCTTCTTCTTGCCCTTTGGTGAGCTAGCTTCAATGCAGCTACCCAATCTACCCACAGATTATTCTGTCGAGTCGCTTAGCGGATTCCTACTAAACCTTCTAAAAACCCCGGCGCTACTCGTTTACCTCTCTGTATGTCTACGCCCAGTAATTGAGGTAAGGCTTTATAGGTTTATTCGGCGAAGACTGCCAAAGCCCATCTACGCGGACGAACTCTCTGTGAAAGTGGCGTATGACAATGATCTTATTGACTGGATGATGCCAGCTCTTGGGCGTCGATCAGAGGAAGAGAATCGTCGCAGTAATCTCTCCTTCACGGAAGACCTGATGTACGAGCTAGGTTTCTTCCGATCATGGGTGCTATCTTGGTTTGGCCTCAAATCATTGCGAACAGCACGAGCATCGGAGCAAGCAGCAGACGCTCGTCGTAGGCGAGAGTGGCTGGAGTCCCTTCCTCAAAGCATAGAGCAGTTGCAGCATGAGCGGCAATCCAGAACCCGTCGACCACGAAGACGGTCATCCGAGCCTCCGTTTACGAGTGGACATATCCATCATGACCAAACACGTTCTAATACTCCAAATCGACGCTCACTCGATCAAACAGCGGATTTAGGTGCTGGCTTCGGTGGCAACCAAGTCCTTGCCAATGAAGAAAACCGTATGTCTCAGTCACCAACTGAAATGAGTAGCGGCGACCTCGCGGAGATGGCTCCGCTACGGCGGGCAGGGACCTTACCTCCACCAGACGACAACTCGTCAGCTCTACCAAACGGAGAGTTACAGCGTGGTGATGCAGGTGAAAATCACCGGAACTCGCGGTCAAACACGCTTTTCTCCCGTCCATCGTCCCCTGCGACCTCTTCTCCAGCTTCACCCCGGGTCCGGGCTTCCCTTATCCATCAAAATTCCGATGTAATCACAATGCAGCTGGAGCTTTTGGGAAACCGCCGCCCTCAGAACCAAGGACAGGCAACCGCACGACCTCAAAACGAAGCCTCTCAACTCCCAGCCAATGGCGAGGTGGTAGACGGGCAAACGATCTCTGAATTCCTCGATAGCCTTCTGTCCAACCAGGGCAGGAATCTGACCACAGTTCTTAATTCAGATAATATGGATAGTGATGGACTCTCTAATATGACTACGAGCGCATCGCCTATGCCTATGAATGACAACCTTGGTTCGGGCTCTCCGGGTCACATTCAAGATCTGGACTCTCAACGGCCACCTGCTGAAGCTCCTACATCAAATCCGGTGAATGTCCTGCCTGAAAGCATAGAGGAACCGTCACAGGGGGACACACTCCATCAATCCCCCGAGGTCGAGCGAGCCCATGAGAATGACTTTGATTCCGAGATGTTTCCCCGAATTTCCGATCCTAATATTCGCCAGAATATGGTACCTAGTGGGACCGCCACTGCGAATCGGGTTACCATTCTCTCCTCTCACCCTGTCGACTCGTTAGCATCGCATCTAGCGTCTATACTAACAAACTTTCTGTTCATACCTCTCGAATCCCTCTACCTGCGGTCCCTTGCTGCGTCATATCTGCGGTCTACTCACGCTCCTGCCGCTCTTCGAGCTGATGTCCGAGGGTTAGGAGATTGGAGTTTGACCCCACGATCAGACATGTTGTCATATCTTGGCAAGGTTGCCCTCATAACTGGAATACAAGCTGCCGTTAACGCAACTGTTTGGGGTGTCATATCCGGCGCCGCCATCAAGATCGGAAGAAAATTTTGCGGCTGGGGAACGCTATAAACATCCTCTAAACTTTCTGCCGGCTATGCAAATCTGAGATGGCCTGTTAGTCGGAATAGTACTTTCGACACATTGGCTTTCTGCCGCCGCTGTCGCCTTTTTTCTTCATTGCACATATTACAGGGCATAATGGACACCGTCACTTGATCCTTCTCATTATCATCTTTTCAGCCCTCAGTGACAGAGTAACTTCAACAGCATCATTTAGTATGAGCTATGGCTGCAAGATCAAAAATAATTCGGAAGAAATGGTTAATTCTATCATCGTCGTAGATTCTTAATTATACAGTAGCCCCTCCGTGCCAAGGCCTACAGTCGGGACCGTTCAACAAGCAGTATTTAACAAGACACCACATCCACAAATATCCCGGTATCACTTAGCCGGATTCTTCCCCTTACGATTCGGCACGCCAGGAACCTTTCGACGTTCCCATACCATCAAGTACCCTTCCTTCGTGAACAAAGTTTCGCTTTCTGCTCGCTTGACAAACAGATCCTGAATCTCCAGCCACTCGGGTCCACGCTGCTCGCCAGCATGTTCTTTCTGAAGCCGACCATTCTCCGCAGACATAGCTTTATCATGCAACTGAACAAGCCAGGAGACTTTCTCGCTGCCAGCTCCAGCTCCTGACGAAGCTTTTCCGCTAGCAGCATTGACTCCTTTGTCTGCTGCGGCTTCCTCGTGAGCACCTGGAGCGGCGACAGTAGGGTCGAGGATGATGTTTGCGACGAGATCGTAGAGGATCGGTTCCCCTGGAGGCCAGATCTCTGGGTTTGGCTCAACATAGGGCGACATGTCTAATGAGCGAGGGGATGGGAAGGTCACGATTGTGGGGTTACGTTCGGAGACGAAGCGGTTCTTGCTGAAGCGCTTGATGTGGAAGAGGAGGTAGGGAGGAAGGGGGTGGAGGAGCCTGTGGCGGACTCTGTGGGCGAGTTTTTCGGAGGCGGTGATTCCGTTGTACTTGTTCAGGAGGGTAGTCAGAGGGACTTGCGGGATGATAGATTCCCGGTTCGCGGATTGGAAAAGGGGCGTGGGTGGTAGGTCTAAGGTGAGGATGAGGAAGGGTGTCGTTTGGCTGTTGATGGAGCCGGATTCGGTGAAAACTAGACGCGCGTTTTGGGTATCTGAATGGGCTGTGATAGCCTGGCTTTCGATCCTCAAGTGACCCTGGAATGCGGCTTGTACAACGCTTGTAGGTGTCTTGGATGGTTTCTTGGACCCTCCAAGAGAGAGGTGGAGGTTGTTCAAGAACCACGACATGAACTCCACTGGATCGGACTGCTGTGTGAGGGTAAAGCGCTTGGATGAGCGGAGAGCGATCTCCTGCAACAGTTCGTGCGGAGATACATGGGAGCGAAATGCCTTAGGGTTCCATAGTTTTCGGACTAGGGTACTGAAGCGGAGTGCTAATTGAGGCGTTCCTGGTTGAGGGAATTCATGCAGCAGGAAGTAATTGCGAATGGGGAAGACGTGAGCTAAGAGCTGGACCACCACGTTCAGATAATCGTTGGCTTTGATGTTATTCATGCCAACAAAACCTGCAAATGATTAACACATTGTCTTTAGCAATATAAACAGTCTGAGTGTCTTACCAGGCCTATAACGGTTTCCTGCCAGGTCGAATGCGTCGTGTACTTCCTTGTCCAGCTTCATCACCTCATCCTTGCTGTAGTACGGGTCCACCACGTATTTGATATCGTCCAAGCTCTGGTTCTTAACCTCATAGCCTTCCGGGAGAACGTAGACCTTTTTAGTACCCATATTGACGAAAACATGGTGTCCGACCTCAAGCGCATGGAAATAAGCATGCGACTTCGGTCCTCTGCCCTGGAAGTATTTGCCGCACACCAGACAAGCGTACACATTAATATTCGACAAGCTGACCGAGCATAGCTTTTCAAAATCGAAGTCGAGGATTTCGCGATTGATCGTATCGAGGTACAGGTCGCTGTAGCCCTCCATGGGGGCGCTCTGACGTTTCGGGGCCGCGATAACCGGTTTGTCGTCATCAGCATCAATATCGGACGATTCGGGGCCTCCATCTTGCGCTGCTTCCGCTAGCTCTTCGCCTTCCTGATCAGCAGCTGCAAGAATATCTTGTCCGCTGCGCTCATGTTCTTCAAGTTGCTGTCCAGTCGCCCGGCGAATCGGCAAAGCTCCACGGCGCGGGTCGTCCTCCGGCAGCTCTTCGTCCTCCACACGCGCTTTCTTCGAGGCAGGAGAGCCTGCTGCGAGCTCTTCCTCGAGCGACAGCTCAGCTTGTCTCTTCGACATCATGACTGGGTAAAATGGCGAGATTGGTGAGGGAAGCTGCTGGGGTTGCGGGATTCGGCCTGCGAAGGACGCGATGCAAACCGCCCAGTGCAAACATGCCAAACACCCGCACAGCGTCATAAGGTGCTTGGTTACATACGGCATCATGGAATCGCAACCGGCGGCATCAAGCTGGGTGCGCTAGTGCTACGATGTTACGGGTAAAATAGGCTTCTCGAGAAATCATTGATATTGTCTCTACTTTAGCTAAATAATAGAAGAGACTTTATCTCGGTCAAAGTCATGGAAAATACCCTGCCATGCAACCCGATCTTCTCTTGAAACCCAAGTCCCGTGAAACCGAAAACATAAGACAATCATTGGTATGATACATCACATTAGGCACTCTTGACAATCCTGTCATTATCGAATGGTACTTCTTGCACGCCGTCCTTTGTCACGATCTTCACCAGAACCTAGAAGCTGTCAGCTACCCATACTCGCTCGCACTGCGGGGCCTATGACTCTGGTAACATACCCCCTTGTAATCGATCGGTAGTCTGCGCTTCAATTCGTCTGTGCACATTTCCAAGAGCTTCATTCCTTCTTCGAGCGAGATGTCGGGGTGGTGGTGTTTATCGAGAGTGGACAGGCAGTAGTATCTAGAGCACCTTAGCATGAATCCCAACAGCTTGAGACCGCTGTTACTCAGCGCCCACACTTACTGCGCATAGCCGTGAGCAGCATATGGTACGGGAGCCAATGATGCCAGATAATCAATCCAGTATAGATGAGGCTTCTGCGTGATGGGATCGACACCTCCCAGCAGGAGGTTGACAGTGTAGGGATTCCGAGACCGCAGACTCCGCGCCATTTCTCCCCGGACAAAGCTGGCAACCGCACTCGGACCCAGCTCCGTATCGTTCCGCATCGTGTATAGTTGGATGTTGGCTTGGATGTACTCCGCGAATTGTACTAATTGAGCTCCGGGTTAGCTATCTAGTTTATGGCGGTTCCGCGTCTCCGATCACTGGGGAAGCTGCAACGAACCTGTGTCTCCCGCCTCTCCCGAGAAGGCCATAAGGTTGTGTTCATTCAGCTGCTTTGTCTTGTCATCTTCGGCTTTGAGGATGGTGGGGCCTCTCATGGCAGCTTTGGAGGCCGCCAGAATGACGAAGTCCTTTCCAGTGATGCCGAGTAGAACCTCCCTGTGAACGAGGATGAGTGAGCGTCGTGTCCATCGATATATATTGCGGCATACTTACATGTTTGTAGTATCTCAGGGTGTGTTTATTCTAGAGGAAAGATGAAAGAGAGGGGGGTAATGGAAGAGGAGATGGAAAGATGACAGTCGAGAGCCCATCGTTGGCCGCGCGGAGCTTTGACTGCCTGGAGCTGCGGCTCTTGCTGCCTTACTGCCTTAGGCCGGAGCTTCGCGCTGAGTCAGCAATTAGGCGTAAAGTTGATGCGCTTTCCGCCTGCACGGTCCACCGGCAGAAAAAAGTGAGAAACCGAGTATCTCCATCGCATCGGCCAATTTGCCAGAGCCTTCTTCCCCTCCAGACCCTCTTTTACCGCCCGTTTTCCACTCTCAGAGCTTCGGTCAATTACATTGGGTGATGTCGTCTTTTTTCACCCTGCCCGCTTCGCAGCGGAAGCGCAAGAGAGAAGACCGCGCTGGCGCCCCCGCGTCTAAGAAACGAGGTGTCGATGGAGACGGAGATGCGGGCGCAAAGAGTGGCAAAAAGAAGACTAGGGAGCCGTCAGTTTCGGGAAGCGACATTGATGAGGATGAGCTCAGTGGTGCCTCAGGGATATCGGAGGAGGAAAGTGGCTCAGAATCCGACGAAGGAGAGACAGCCGGAGACCGGAGATTGAAGCTTGCGGAGCGGTACCTGGAAAATGTCCGGGATGAAGTGGAGGACTTTGGCTTTGACGCGGCCGAGATTGATCGTGACTTGATCGCAGAGAGGCTGAAAGAGGATGTTGTAAGTACAAATCCTCCCATCCGGCTCCTGTTCGGCTGGTCAGGCGTTTTACATGCAGAGCTGACGAGAGCTGCAGGATGAATTCAAAGGACGCGTTTATCGTCAGATTGCCTCCGATTTGGCCTTCTCGACGGCCTCCCATACCTTCTTCCGGGCAGATACGCAGTCAACTACGTCAATTGCAGTCCATGCGCCGTATGTTTACACCGTTTCGAAGGACAAGACCTTGATTAAATGGGAACTCGCCACACCCACCTCCACGATTTCTACAACAAATGGAGAGGAGTCCGAACGCCCTCCTCGCCCCCAGCGGAAGAAGCCAAAGCAGGTCAGGTTTGTGCGGGGCTTGCGAAAGGTTGCGGAGACGGGAGAAGAGCATGGACATACCAAGAACATCTTGTCCGTCGCAGTGTCGCCGTCCGGAAAATTTGTAGCCACGGGAGGAGAAGACCGGAAACTCATCGTCTGGGACGCGGAGACTCTTACCCCCCTGAAGACCTTCACACAACATCGCGACGCTGTCAGTGGTCTTGCCTTCGCTCGTCATATCTCTACCATGAGTTCTGGAGAGCAGCTCTTCTCTGGCTCTTATGACCGGACCATCAAGACCTGGTCTCTGAGTACAGCCGGCCATGCCTATGTTGAAACACTCTTCGGACATCAAGATCATGTTACGTCCGTCGCCGCCATGGCCATCGATCAGTGTGTCAGTGTGGGAGCGCGCGATCGCACGGCCAGGTTGTGGAAGGTTATCGAGGAATCCCAACTGATCTTCCGTGGTGGTTCTAAGAGCGCCTCCTATCAAGAGAACAACATTGACTGCGTATCGCCGTTACCTCCTAACCACTTCGTTACTGGATCGGACTCAGGTTCCATCTCTCTCTGGTCCATTCACAAGAAGAAGCCGCTTCACACGATCCCTCACGCACACGGCCTCGACCCCTTACCTCCACTGGACGAACTCTCCTCTGAAGTCAATCAAGAAACCGCAGCACACAATTCCCGTCACCTCCGGCGCATGCCCCGCTGGATCACCGCTTTGACTACGCTTCCGGGCACAGACGTCGTACTTAGCGGCAGCTGGGATGGCTTCATCCGGGCATGGAAGATCTCGGAAGACAAAAAGACCATTGTTCCTCTGGGCCCTATCGGAGCAGGATCCAGCATTCCGCTAACCCCCGACACCCCATCCGAGCAATTAAAGCAGACCCTTGCCTTCGACACACCGACGAGCCCGGATCACATGGCAGTTGATGGTGCGCCGGCCCAGCAGACCGAGGAGGAAGCAGAACCGCTGATCAAGGGTGTGATCAACGATATTGCTGTTTTCGAGCGTCGCGCAGAAACCGCCAAACCAGGCCAAGCGCCAGCGGAACCCAAGTCCAAGTCCAAGTCCAACACCAAGCCGTCTGCGCCCGAGCAACATGGGCTCTGCATCGTAGCCGCTGTTGGCAAGGAACATCGGCTAGCAAGGTTCAAATGCTTCTCCAACAACTTCCATGACGGCCCCACCGCGGACGGTCGGAACGGTGCCGTCGTGTTCGAAGTACCATTCATCTCCCAAAAATCGAAATGATCGATCCTGGCATCGATCGATTAGTATCCGAATCGAGGCGCTGACTGACTAATTGATTTTGGTGGCGGCGCTGGACGGCTGTATGCAATGTAGTGGAAACATCATGGCGTCTGTGCATCCTACATTTCTTTTCTATCTACTCTATGCATGTATCTTTATTCCCGGGCCGGTGGTCTCTGCATATTGCTTTCAAAAGTTCGCATTAGAAGAGGTACTTTTCTGTTCCACTATCTCTCTAATCCCCGTGATTTAGCCGGTTTCTTGTACGATGTATATACTTTGAACATGAGAATTTTCTTCAATGACTCCTCTCCTACCACTAGTAATAGTATTTCTCATAAGACATCTACCATCAAACCCACCAACAGAAACCAAATTCACTCCCTCACCAAGCCTCAACAAAGCCGGCATGTTGAAGTTCTACTTACCGACGAGAACCGTCAGCTGAAACCACAACATAAGCGCCGAGCGTGACAACGACCCTGCAACCTGCAGGCCACTAAGTCTAGCGGGTTCATTAATTCCCCGGCGCTAAAGCCGGCGACTAGACTGAAGGCGGATAGGGATATCTGCCTAGACTAGATAGTGGACTCGGCGAGTTGGGCGGGGCATGATGCATAGTTACTAAGTTTAGTTCAATGCTATTACTATTTACGGCTATGGCGTATGATCAGATGCAGTACTCGCTCCATATGTTGATCTGTTGAGCGGGAAAGACTAGGAGTTATTCATGTAGCACCAAATTTCGCGACTCGCGCACGCGAATGTGCGCGGTTAGGATTGGAATTCACCGAGGGGAAGATGTAGTGCTGCCCACGCCGGGCGTACCGGGGAAGGATGCGGCGTTACTAGTACGATTGTGGTTGTCGTGGAGAGGTGGGATAGTGGTGGTGGGTTAAGCGATTGATGCTTTCGATGTTGGGGGTGTGGAAAATGATCTTTAATTCTGTTTTACTGATATAATACTACTGCTGCTTGGATCATGGTTCACTTAATTAGTGTGAGATTTTTGTTATGTATTGTCTCAATCAATGAGATCGGTATTTCCTGCAATCTAGAATGATGGTATGGCGGGAAAAGAAGAAGACTATAAGATGCTTGATGATACATGTGCTCTTAAACGGATATGTCATAAAACCGAATGGCGCTTGATAACAACCTTTACCCAAGGTACTGAACAAGTAGCATGAGACAACGGATCGCAAACAGGGGTATTTTCAAATGGCCTGAGGGAGGGTTAAGCCTTCTTTACGGGGATGATGCAAATGTCCTGGAACATGTAGAATAGAACGCGACCTCGTATCTTCTTCGGGGTGGTCGCAAATCAGATTGCCAGCTCGGCTGTTGGGGTGTATGTAGTAGGCCTGATATAGAAGGGTAATATTTCTTTTGAGGTCCCAAGGATGGGTGATCGAGCACCGCAAGATCAAGAGAAGTCGCACATAATGGATCATTAGGAAGTAATATCAATCGTCATTAGAATCGTAGATGAGTTGTCGGGGTGATTTAATAGGCCGAGGGTCGGCGATTGCCCCTGTCTCTTGTCCGCCTAGTTGGTCGCACGGGGCCTTCGTCAGAATCGTCATCCACGCTGATTGCATTCATGACAGTAGATCCAGCGGACACTTGCTGTTGTAACCGTGGATCATGACGGATATCTCCCTGGGATCTGGATTCACTGCGTCCCGACGCTGTACCGGAAGTCCCATTCTCGCAAGATGGCGAACTCGACTGTATTCGGTAGGTTTGGATGCGATTGCGCCGAATGCCACCAACAGGAGGCAGAATCGGATCCTCGTCGTCATCGTCATCGTCATCGTCGTCGTCATCATGACTTTCATCGTCCAGGCTCTCCTCGTCGCTTTCTTCAGACATCTCATCAAAGGTTGACAAGTCAGTTCCAATAGTGTGGGTGACCGAAATTTCATGCCGCCCAACCACTGTGGATCGGTCAGATTCGGAATAATCATCGTGTTCCAAGTCATCGTCGATGAACGAATCCATGTCTGCATCCTCGTCCTCATCATCCATGTCGCTATCTTCCTCGAGAGCTGACGAAACTCCAGAAGGCCAGCCATAATGGTTCTGCCGGCGAAAAGGCCCAGTTGTGCGCACACCCGGAAGGTCGCCAGGCGCTAGGCCATACCACTGACGATAAAGTTGGTCTATGTCGGCAGGTTGAATATCAAGGGGCAGCTGGTCATGGCTAGGATCCCAGCCATATTCATCCGCGTCCCCAAACCCATCTTCAATCTCATCATCGTCTTCCAAATAGTCCGTCATCTCGGAGTTTTCGTCTGACTCACTCCAGCCTGAACTTCCAGTCACAGACTCATCATCTTGTCGATACCCGCATTGTGCACATCCTTCATCTTCCTCTAGCTCCCAGGAACAACGTGGACAACGCACAACATTGTCCTCGAGGTCCACGATAGGTTGCGCGACTGGAAGCTTCTTGTTGAACGTACCACGGAACAGGCCCCCTTCCCGCGGGTGTGTGTTGGCCTTGTCTTTTTCCAGTCGCTCCGCTTCTTCGCGTTGATGGCTTAGGTGTTCGTCTGTGGTCTCGCCCTTATCAAGCAGCTCCGGGCGACTTGTGAACATTTGAACAACAGCGCGGACCTTGAGTATTTTAGTTAGTGCCTGTTGAGCATCGGATCAGAAACAAGTATGATATGCAGAGGCCTACCAAGTAAGCGGGAGCTGGTTGCGCTTTCACCGGTGCTCGACAGTCCGGGCATGTCTTGTTGTGCCTCCCACCAACAAACCATGATGTTAGACACTAGAGCGAAAGGTTAGACGCCAAAACTTATGAGTGTCGTCGAGATTGGCGATACTGACACTGTAGCAAAAGGTATGTCCGCAGGCAAGGGTATAGGGTTCATAAAGTGGTCGGATGCAAACGCCGCATTGTAGGAGAGAACGGATATCGTCGACATGACCTTGCAGGGTTTGAAAGAGCTAGAAAATAACGATATATATCAGCGCATGAAAGGCTTGACCCTACAAAGGGAAGCTCACCCCTGACGCGTTATCTCCAGTATTGACATTTGGTGTGCTGGTGCTCTCGGAGCCATTGCTCAAGGCAGCTCCAGCGGGGGTAGGTTCGGACATGGTATGAGGAGACACGGATCAGACGCTGGTGGTAACGGGTTTATATAGTTGATGATCTTGTCCTTGTATCCAACGCGACAAGTTCCGTCTCAGATACGGAAGGTAGACGGTGTGCGGTCGGAGAGGAAGGGGTGGGATACAAGTAGTATGGATGGGAACTCTCAGGTACGCGCGAGGATTGCGGACATTGACAGAAAGAACTCCCCACCAAGCGCTGGAGTTTGACGCGACGGGAGAAGGGCGCTAGAGATGTCGAGACGGTGTGCTCTTGGCCTGAAGGTACCAGACGGTATGACCGGCACGAAGCAAAGAGAAAAGATTCGAAGAAAGAAAGAGAATTGATCATATGGCGATTGGTCTGGCCGGCGTGAGCATGATTTTCTGGTCGGGGAATCTGCGCGCAAACCGAGCAAACAATGGGGCGGCGGATGATTGAGTGGAACCGTGGAAGAAGCCGAAACTCTACCTGTCGTCGGGTCGATCCCATCTATCTCTACTCCGTATCCTCCAACACATACACATCTTTCCAACTTCCAACAATTACGCCGGTCAAAAGAAACGGAGGAGAGACGGGATTGAATCCAGCCTGATGGGTTAGCGGACAAGGTCATGGGCTGTGATTTGTCCCTCTCCAGTGCTAGACGACGACCCTAACGGAAAACTAAGGCCGAAGGAGTAACCCGGCGCCGTCTCACCGTCGATACGCCAAATATATCTCAGCAGCGCTTTAGCTCTGTCATAAGTGGACCACGTCGGGGTTATTACTACAGTTGGATCGGAATAAATTATCCAGATTTTATCTTTGTTTGAACAGTGAGATGGGGCTTGCTCATATCCCAACAGTTCCGATACTTGCGGCAGGTTGGCCACCACCACCCTTTTCCATATTAGTGCATTCGTTTCGCATGTCCCAGCGCTTCGGTGAACCTTATGTGAGTATGCAGGGGGCAACATATTCTAGTACAATGTGATGCCTTCTTCTTTTTGTGGCAATAATCAGGCTGGCGTATCTCCACCATATGACCGAAGGAACATGGCTGAAATCCGGACACCAATCGTCTGCCACACTTATACTTGATCTCCTCTACTCAGCTCCTATAACATGGCCATCCTCATAGAGCACACTTCACCGTTGTACAGACTCGATCACAGCAATATAAACAGTTCTCATGGAGCATTGAATGAGGTATCATCTTTCAGACCCCCGGTGCGAACGGCTTCACAATGACGATTCTCTTCAATTGGCAACTGACTGCAGGTCATCTGTACGTGGTGCGTTTAGTAGTACTTCAGCCAAGCAGCACATGGCTTCAGCTTGTGACTCTCTTCTAACCGCTCCTGTTGCACTAAAGCGCTTGATAAACGCCTTAAGACCACCAGCTTTCAGGTTATACCCCCCTAGGGGGTTACCCCCAACAAGAAGAATGTCTCCTGACTATCTACTGATGAGCTTATGCAGGTTTAAATACACTATGTATGAAGCGGGATAATATGGAGAGATTTGACTTAGAATCCTATCTGATTTTAGAAAATATTATTTCTTCCTGTGACAAGAAATCGAGAGCGTTGACTTTCGAAGCCGAATTGAAGCGAAAGTGATAAACTTCAGATAATGAGGCTTAGCAGACGTAGAATCTGAAGGCTGCACTACTCGACATCTGCGAGCGCCCGCTTCCGGGAACGCTCTAGCTTCAGATCCTCTGACACAAGGTGACTATCATCAATCACTCCCTTGATCACTTTTTCGTCGTCCACGATCTCTTTATTCATGTGTTCCAAAAAATCGATCTGCTCACGAATGAAGAGTTTCGCAGCACGCGTATCAAAAGTGCGCCGGGCTCGCTTTTGGTCTCGCATAAGTTTATTGACGTCACGGAGACGATCGC